AGTAAGCAATAACAGAGGGCATACTAAAAAAAATTACTTTAATTTGAATTTCGATTTTACCAAAAATCTTTCTACTGTTGCTTGAAACAAAGACAGTTGCAATGTATCTAGTTTCAATTTCAAGAAATGCTTAGCTTGGTAATGAATATAACAGTTATAAACTTCGTGTTTAATACGCAGATTGTCAAAAAATTAAAAAGTTTACATTATTTATTTATCTTGTTTAAAATTTTTTAAAAATTAATATTAGGCCGGTTTCACACTTCACCGGCCGGTTTATACCGGTACCGTTTTTTTGCACACAATGCCCTTTCATATTTATATGCTTTTTATCCGCCTCTAACGAATTTTTATTCTCGATTGCAGTTCATTTTTAATTAATTTTAATACAAAATAAACCTAAGTTTTTTTATTACTACACAATAAAAATATAATGCATATTTAATAATATTTTTTGTTTTCAAAGCAGTCATATAAATTAATTAAATCATAAATAGTTTTTATTTATTATTTAATATTTAAAAATCTGTACAAATTAATAAAAATAAGTCGTTAGTTGATTTATATATTGCTTTTAAATACATAACTTTTTTATTAATAAATAATTAATTGGCTAAATATTAAATAATTAATTGTTAAAAATACTATTCAAATAATACTTTTTAAGCATTTTTTATGACATTCTTTTAAAATTTTTATTCATTTTATTTTCTCAAAACTTAATGCGTATGGAAAATAAAGCAATTTTTGTCTGGCAACCGGATAAAGACAATCACCAGCAATTTTTTGCGCCGGATTCGATTTTTATCGTCACAGTGCTGTCGTAGATCATGTTTTGTAAAATATTTACATTTATCTGAAAAAACTTATTGCCTCAGCTTATTGGCGACGGTGAAGTGTGAAACGGGCTCAAGTAGATTATGACTTGTTAATCATAATCAAAAATATTTTTATTAAACACTTATTTATTTACATATAAGAACTTTAAACTTTATTGAATGGTTATTATAAATGTGAAATACTGATAATATTAATTACAACAAATGTAGATGTATTATATATATGAGTATGTATAAACTGTCATCAAATGAAGTTCAATAATAGCATAACAAGTAATTTGAAGTGGCTTATTAAGCAACAATCAATATATGCATATGTCAGGGTATTTTAATTTTATTAACGTGATAAGTTAAGTCTAGTTATAAACTGCATTATTTTGTTTATTTCAAAGATCTAAACATTTGCAGTTAACTTCGAGAAAGATTAACCATATTAGATTATAATTATTAATCTTTGTTGAAATTAAAATATAAATTTCATTTAGATAATAAAATAATAATAGCATAAAACTAAATAACTTTCTGTATAATAAAAGTGCTGGCAATTTGCACTTTTAGTCATCATCTTATAAATTTTTGTTTTTAACTTATCTATAAAAACGAAACTATGATGTATAGTATTTTATCTATTAAGTTTCAAACATCATTTCTTATCATAACAATATGAAAATTATGTTTGAATAAGTTTGTCTTATGATATAAGCAAAAAAAATCTATCATTGATTAACAAATCCTGTTAAGCATTCTACATATACAATATATAATATTATAGGTTATAAAAGCTAAAACAACTAATGCATTGTAAAGATAAAAAATTACATATTCATTATATTCTTTATCAATGATAAACGATTTAAAACATGATAACAATGTGAATATACAAATGAAAGGTTAAAATAGATTAGACATAAAAATAAATATTATATGTGTAGAATATTAGATAGCCAAATTCCAAACTCTCCGAAATTGATGCTCAGTGTAGTATACACAATAGTATAAATTTATATTTAAAAAAAAAAAATTTTAATGAACATTTGAGTGTTACAAATTTATTTAACATATTACTAAATTATTTGCCAAATAATTAACCATTGCGTATTTTATATTTCCATTTATATTTAAACATATGCACTCCTATTTTTGTTATTTAATTTTTTTTATATTGGCCACATAAATACGAAATATTAAAAAAATAAAAACAATATATAAATAAAAAATAACCAATTTTAATGATAAGATAAATTCGTAAAATCAATACGACTGTGCTATCCGAACAGTATTCCACTTAGGTACGCTTACGTTTCCATGATGCAATTAATCACCGATAGTCGATCCATCATATATTTGTATACATCGATACTTTAAAAAAAAAGGCAACTTTGTGCACCTTTTTTATTTAACATTAATAACATTTAAATAACAAACATTATTTTAATTTAAGAATGTAGTTTTACCTTATTTTAAATTAATAAATTGAAGATTGCATATATTTTCACACCTGCATTATTGTGCAACAAGTCAATTTCACTCAGATTAGCATGCGTGATATATTTAGAACGATCTTATACGTTATTGGCAAGTAACTGTGTAGTATTGTATATATCTGTTCTCTTGTTAATCTAACCCAGTACACTTAGTTGAAAATGAAGTTTCTGCTAAACACGTTAAGCAGACTCACATACTCTGTAATATATGTATGTGCAATAATAAAGTAAACCAGTTTCAGTCAGGCTACTATGCGTAATAAATTAAGAACGATCTTATACATTTCGTAAGGCAAGTAACTGTGTAGTATTGTATATATCTGTATATTGATCTCTTGTTAATCTAACCCAGTACACTTAGTTGAAAGTGAAATCTCTGCTAAATAGGTTCAGCAAAGTCTTTGTGTAATATATGTGCAATAATAAAGTAAGCACACCAAGGCATGTATCCAGGAGAGCTTATGTGTTTGAATGAATTGAAGGATTATATAAATTCATAATTATGCACCTTGTCCGTTAAATATTATAAAAATTTTTTAAATTATGAAATTGTCCAAAAGCCTCCCACCGACGTAAACAATTTTGTATTAGAAAATATTGATCATCGAGATCCAAACTAAAAAGTAATGAAAAACAGTTTACATATTTTATAATATTTATATAATATTTCTATAATATTTATTTTTAGTATTTACAATTTATAAAATTTATTTAAGTTAATATTTAAGGCAAAAATTTCTTTAATTATGAAATGAAAACTTCAGTTCACAAAAAGAGATTACAAATGAAAAACAGTTGACGAATTTTCCGTTTGTGGTAAACGTAATAATTTTTAAGTGGGGAAAAAAAAATATTATAATATATATGAAGCTAAAATTTTCAAAATAATTATTTTAGTATTTTATTTAAAAGTCTTCTTTTGTTTTATTTATTCAATATATCCTACAATTAAAATAAAAACATAAGATAATTTTTGTGTTTATTTTAATATAATTAAAATGAAGTTTTTTTTGATTCCAACTAGCACTTATCATATCTTCTATAATTTTCTCAGATCAACCAATATTTTTGAAAAATCAGTACTATAAATTAAAAAAATTAATTTTTGTAATATATAATTATTTTAACTCTTCTTCCTTTTATTTACATATCTTCATCATTGACTATTTTATATTTGCTAAATTTCTCTTATTCCAAAAATAAAGTTCAAGGACTTGATAAAAAGTAATCATCAGCTATATTTTATGGACATAATACATAGTACCCCGTTAGCACTCCAGTTACTACACGAACTGCAGATTTGCTGAAACACAAAATATCGTTTGTTTTTTTTTTCTATCTATTCTACATCACAGAGTTCTAACAACTTCATAGTCATTGTGATTAATCCATAAATCAATTATTTTCGCAATAGTGAATTTATCTGTGGTCCTTGAACATTCCACACACCAAGGTTGGTATTTAGGTTTTATTTATGTCTATTTCAAAGCCTCTTCTGGTAATATTATTTGTTTTCTTTAGTACTATTGTACTTAAACAAGATAATAAAACTATTTTCAGCTTTTGTATACTCCATTCAGACAAATATGTACACTCGAATTTTTTTTTACAATATTAGTAAAATTTATAATTAAAGTTATAATTAAATTATAAATTATTATTTATAATTATTATTTATAATTTACAGTATTTTTTATTTTTAACAGTGAAACCTTATATATACTTACTTACTTCTTTGGCCTTTGTTCGTTTGCGAGGATCATCAACATTCAAGTTCCAGTTTCGAAGTATCCTTACGTCATTCACTAGCGACTAATTTTACATAACGGGTGCCAAATTCTGTGCAAAACCTAAATATAAAGTCCTGGGGATAGGACTCGCTGTACGCACTATTAGTTTATTTCCAAGCGGGTAACATATAACTATCCAGGGGTGTCATGTGGAGGCTATGCGACAACTTCGATTGCGGACGGCAAGGATTGCGCTAACATTTTCTATGTTAAATACAATCAGTCAGTTTGCCTTGTGTACTCGCTCCCAGTTGCTTGCGGATATTTAGATAATTCGTTCTATAATTCTCAAAACTCAACTTTGTAATGAGTTTCTCAAAAAATCTATATTTCCTATTGATTCATATTTATTAATTTTCATAATTTTCACCAAAATAATTAGAAACTCAACTTGAATCATACTTTTACCTATCTCGGTCATTATCCTTTTGTCTCTAGCGGTAGATACGCTTACGAACTCTATTTCTTATTAAGTGTAGTCAGAATTTTTTGAATGGATTATTCATAATGACGATAGCATGACAACAAATATTTTTTTACTAACTACAATTGCAACAACAATAAAAATGCTAATTACAACAACGATTTGATAATAGATAGATAAAAGTTACGTACTGAAACAAACTTGTACTGAACCTAAGATATCATAACCGGGTATTTGTTCATATATAGCTAGCTATGTAGATATGAATAAATTCTATATTTTTAAATTTTGTTACTGATATTGTTTTATATATTTTCGTAACTAAACTGAATTTGTTACTAAAGTGACAAATATTTATTTAGTTTCGCACCTGCTATCGTCGGTGCAAGTTCTAAAACGGGTTGTGAAATTACTATAATATTTCTAAATTAAATTGTATATATATATATATATATATATTTACAAGTTATTTTTATTTATGCAATTTATGCAATTATAATATATATTTAGTGGAAAACCTAGCGTGAGCGGTACAAATTAAGAAGTACGTGTTCAGAGATGAGTATTAACTGGTACCAAGTGTTTATTGAATATAAAATTGTTTATAAATATATATATATAGACATATGAATACATATATGTATTTATATGTATCTTAGAAAATGTAAATATAAATATTGGCCTACCCTAACTTTGAGAAAGGTTCTTTCTTTTCATAAAGCAAAAAACTTCTGGACAAGGTCTCATATATGGTTTCGATGATTAATTGTTCAAGAAAAAATATTAATACTAAATGTATTGTGTTCATTTAATCCGATTGTTATCAGTTTTGTGTATCGTTGTTGTATTTTTTTTATTTTCAAATTAAATACATTTTATGAGTATGCTTATCACATTCAATACCAAAAGACTTTTCACATAGTTTCTATGAAAAAGTTAGACTGTAAGGTGGTTTTTATGGAACTAATTAACTAAATTAATATGACTATTTGTGATTTTTTTCTTTAAGTTAAGTACGAATGATTCATACTTAATAAACTCAAATAAACGGCTTATCTCTTTTTGGATTTAATCAAGATTGGACTGGTGAAGTGTATTATAACACCTGTGCCATTTTATTTACTGAAATTACTTTTAATCAACTAATATATTATATCAAATGTAAGCAATTATATAAAAAAAAAATGAGGTTTTAAAAAAAAATGTTAAATTTTTACCTTGAAGTGTAAAAAAGAGATTGGCTAAAAATTATTTTATTTTTATTTTTGTAACAAAAATAATATAATATTTTATATATATATTATACCTATATTATTAAAGCCGTATTCCATCAGGAACATAGACTATTTACATAGAATCGCCAGGTATGCTTAATATCTTAATTCGTTAAATGATTTGTTAGTTTCATATCAGATTGTTCTTCTCCAGGTTGTAAGAGGCCTACCGGATCTTGGATTGTCTTGAGGGTTCTATTGTAGGACAGCATGACAGAACTCTTTGTCAGTCTGTCAGCATGATAGTATTTTTCTCGTTTTATTTACACATTGATGTTTGACAATAATATATGTAACAAATAAAAATATATAGACATGAGTACATAGTGACTAAAATCAAAATAGTAAATAAACAAAATAGTTTGTAAATTAAATTTCTGCCTACTTGTAGACTGATATATTCTTCTACAAGTCAATAAGTCATTATTCTACATTACTTCGCTCTATTTTTCAGTAAAATATATATGGACTTTACCAACTCAAATTTCTCAAAAGAACCTTACAACAATTTTTCTATATATTGATTGGTTTTTTCATTTTTGCTATTAAAACTCTATATCTATTACATATTATACTTTTCTTCTACATTTTAAGTCATTATTTTAGTACTTTGAAAACTTAAATGTGTTCTATTCAATTGTAGTCACTTTGTAGTACAAAACATCTGACATGACCGTATGGTTCCGCTCCTTTGGAACCCGAAACCATATTCTTTTCGATTATATACTTTTCTACATAGTGAGACTAATTTATCAAATTTGACTATATGTATATTGTGTAGAACATAGAAATATGTTTTATGTTTTTAGTGAATTTGCACTGCTACACGATGTTTATCATTTAAAAAAAATTACTTTTAAATAGACATACTATAGATAATTTTGTAGTTTTACTCGGTGGTATAGCGACGGACTCTGATATTATTAGTAAAATATTGTTTACCTTATTGTTATTGTCATTAAATCTAATTTTTTTTCTAAATTTGGTGAAATATTAAGCCCATTAATAAATTTAACTTTAATTTCAAACAACTAATTATATTTACAATAGTTCAAATAATTTTTAAAGTCTTTCAGAACTAATTTTATAATATGAAACAAAATTTGCAATAACATTTTTTTATATTCTAATATAAATATTTTTTTTCTAGATATAATTTTATACTAGTCAATCTACCAAAAATATCAACTATGTCTAATATACGACCACTTAATGATAAATTAGCTAAAAGAGCTCAAGAAGAACTTGGTGAGGTACCAGAACGAATTGATTCAGATATTGAAATGTTACGTGAATGGATGTTAAAACAAACTTATATAAAAGGACGTACTGACGATCAATTTTTAGTAGCTTTCTTACGTGGTTGCAAATATAGTATAGAAAAAGCAAAACATAAAATAGATAGTTTCTATGCAATGCGTGGTGTAGTACCAGAACTATACAAGGATCGATTTGTAGATGATAGAAAGATTGAAATATTGAGACAAGGGTAAGTAGTAAATGTTTTAAAATTAAAATAAGCATTTTAAAGTATATACGTATACTAATTATCTTATACATTAGTTGTTTACTTCGATTACCTAAACCATTGACTGAAGATGGACCACGTATACACATTTCACGTTATGGCATGTATGATTCCAATAAATTTTCATTAAATGAAGTTGTGAAAGTAAGCACTATGATGGGTGAAATTCAGTTCCGTGAAGATGATAATGCTATGGTTATGGGTTTCACGGAAATTATTGATCTCAAAGGAGTCGGTGCTGGCCACATATTCCAATTCGATGCAGTATTAGTTAAAAAATTAGCTGTATTAGGTGATAAAGCATGGCCATATCGGCCTAAAGGATTTCATTTCGTTAATGCTCCTTCAAGTGCAGAAAAATTTCTATCCATTGCAAAGAGTCTAATGAGTGACAAAATCAAGGAGAGGGTAATACACAATATTAATATGCTATAAATTTTTATTTTAAAATTTTATTTACTTCTTTATTACAGTTCCATATACATTCAAAATATGAAACTCTCTATAAATATATTCCCAAAGAATGTTTACCTGCAGAATATGGTGGCAGTAATGGTACAGTACAAGATGTAATTGAAACATGGGAAAGAAAGCTATTAAGCTATAAGGACTATTTTGAGGATGAAGCACAGTATGGTACGAATGAGAAGTTACGACCTGGGCGTCCAGTGGATTCTGCAACATTATTTGGCTGTGAAGGCTCATTCAGAAAATTAGACTTTGATTAAATTAAGTAAATGTAAAAATTTTTGTTATTTTTATTAATAAAAGTTGATTTAAAACTTAATATTCCTTATTACTGAACAAAATAGTTTTAAAATTTTATAGACATTATTGTGACTTAAGACAACGAGTTGAGTTGAAAATCCTATGGAGTAGACAAGATAAAAACAGCAATCATGCTAGACAACTGAGATAGCATTTTAAAAAAGAAGTGACAGATTAAACCGATATGTGAATAAAGCAAGTTTTCTTTGTTTACCGAAAGTGAAAGTAAATATTAATTTATTAATAAACGTTTCTGCTATTGTGTAAATATTACACAACTGTTAATAAAACATGCATACATCACGTTCGTATATATTTGATATTTAGACTTTAATTTCTTTTAAAAAAAATTTATTTTATTTTAAATAGAAGTTTCGGTAATAGTAAGAAAATTTTAATTGTTGAGATATAATACAACTTTTTCGCATACCATCAAATATCCATCATCATTGTTCTTTGGAAATATCTATTATATACAGTTTTATTATTTTACAACATCCACTCTCCGCCCCTAGCACTCTCCGCTTGGACTTCGTCCAGGCCTTGCGCCATAAAGCTCCCAATATCTCTCCTTTTATTTCCATGATTGGGACTCCGATTACTCCCCCATCCCTCTCGACAATCTACTTTCTGGCTTAGATGAATTTAGTTTCACCTAAATATTAAGCCTCTCGCACTACTCTCCCCATCTTGATTACTGGAATAAGGTTGTATCCGCTGCACGTGACTGCAATCTTCCATGCTCGTTCCTAAGAGGTGGTTTTAGAATTTTTTTTAAAATGTGTCAGAAATTTAACCGTGCCCTATTTGAACCATAGACTCGCGTAATAAGACTCAGAAGCAACGTACATTCAATTTATGTTATTCAAATGTCTAGTTTTGTGGATTTTGTGTTTCTTCATTCGTAAACAACTATTATATTTCTTATGCTATTTACATAACCTTCTACAACAACCTTCTATTCTTCTTTGTTCCTTCTTTCTCTTTTTAGTTTCTTATATTCATTTCCTCTAGACATTTTCTTCTGGACACTGTCTTTCCATCTTCTTTTCTTTCTTTTCTTCTTTTGCTTCTGATATTATTCTATAACATCTTATGTTCCACTCTTGTTTCTGGCATTTTTATAA